GTTTTGAACTCCAAGGCCAAACTTCCCTGTTGTTCCTTTTATCTCTTGACTCCCGACTTTAGCATTCCGATCCCCTAGAATGAGAAGAACATCTTTCTTTGGTGTCAGTTCTAGAAGGTGTTGTAAGTCTTTATAAAATTGGTCAGTTTCAGTCTCCTCAGCCCATCTGTACCTCCCAGCAAACATACAACACACTTTAACATGGTGAATCTTCAGTTCCCACATCTGGAAACGATTCCACTTGCCCCACATGCCTCATCCATCATTGTGACCACAGATGCTTCACCCTAGAGGTGTTGGTATCCACGCCATCTGGACTTCATACCAAAGGAAATTATACATAAATGCCATGGAGTTCCTTGCTGTTAGATACACCTTCGGATCTTTCAGAAAATTGGATTAAAGGGTGCATCATCCACCTCACAACAGACAACAGTACTATCATTAATTATGTGAACAAACAAGGAGCACAAAGTCTCTTTATCTGATTTCCATGACCATAAAACTATGACATTAGTATGCCTGAAAAGAAGTCCACTCCATTATGATCTATGTTCCAGGAACAGAAAACATCTGTATGACTCAGTAGCTTAGCTATCTGGCTGTGGAGCCAGAAGTTGGGAGTTCGATTCCCCACTGTGCCTCCTTGACAAGGGCTGGACTCAATGAGCCATAGGGTCCCTTCCCGCTCTGCAGTTCTAATATGATAATGACTAAGCAGAAAATCAGCTACGATTCATGAGTAGAGATTGCATTCTCTCAAAGCAAATTGTCTCTTCACCAAATGAGGTCGTCCTCAAATGACCTTTACAGCTGCCACCAATACTACAACCAGTTCTACTCTAGAAGTCTGAAGTCCTTCAGCTCTCTATACAATGTGTTTCTTCAGTGTTGGGATGGTTCCTTCGTTTATACATTTTCCCAGTTTCCTCTAATTGTAAGCGTCATAGCAATGATCTGTTGCAACAAAGCAAACTGCATTCTGATAAAACCATGGTGGCCATGCCAGCCATGGTTTGCCCCTTTTCTGCTTCTATCAGCATTCTTCCACTACAGCCAATCCTCATATCTCTCCATCATGGCATGATTCTCCACCTTGATATTTGTTCATTACTTCTCACAGCATGGAGAATCTATCCAGCACATCATCACAGACATTTTTGAGAGTCTATAGACAGCTCAGGAGGACATCCAAACTTCGAAACTCATCCTTAGAAGAGAGAGAGTAGCTTCCCCCCAAAGTAAGGTCCCCAATCTACAGACAGCAGGAAACCCTGAAGAACCTCAGTCTTACCCAAGTTCAGGTTCAGCCTGCTAGCCCCCATCCATCCCAGGACTGCCTCCAAGAAGCACTCAAGGGACGCAACACCATCCACTGCAGAAGGGTGGAAGGCAAGATGGAGTTGGGTGTCATCCACATATTAGTGACATGAAACTCCAAATCTCTGTATGACCTCTCCCAGCGGTCTCATACAGATATTAAACAGTAGCAGGGAGATGATCAGTCCCTGGGGTACCCGACAATTTATAGTCCAGGAGGAAGAAAGCATTTCACTCAACGGCACTCTAGGGGCTTAAGTGTTTTTCTACCACAGGCTTGTGGCTTGTATCAGTGTGATATTTTTAAAAGGTAACTAAGAAGCATCAATTTTCATTCTGTTTCTGAATTTGATATTTACATAGTTTTTCTTAGAATTTTTTAGGAGGAAACAATGGCTGGACTTTTGTTGCCGTGCATAAGGCTGATGACCTCACGTGCCAACAGTATTCTGGTCGTTGTGTTCCAGCTTCAAAAGTCTTATAATTCATTCTGTGAACCCAAGAATGACTAAGAATTGTTAATTAGTGAAACAGCTGAACTGTGCTGCATGGTAAAATGTTTTTGAAACTGAAGGAAGCAGTTTGTGTTTTGGGGGTGATAGTCTGCCGCTTGAAGAAGAAAGTAAAACATATCACCACAGCGGTACTCTTACGTGGACCTTATCAGCTCTTTAGGTCTTAAGCATTGTTGAAAAAAGGCAGAATGGGCAAATAATATTCCCCTTTTTTTCCAGGTGAATGGCAAAAATTACCCTCAGGCCAAACTGCTTTTGGGACAAATGGGAGCACTTCATCCAACCAGTCGACTAGCTGCTTACCTTACAGGCAGGCTGCGACCAGCAATGCTTGATCTCTCAACAATCAGTATGGTGATATCCAAGGTAGCATCAAGTGCTAAATGTACTGGTTCTGAGCCAAAATCAACTGAAGTGCCGACATCAGAAACTTCCAAAACCACATTTTCTAATAGTACATCAAATTCCACTGTAACAGGACCAAATGTTCGTGTCACAGCACATAGACAGATAGGTAGGTTGTAACTTTATTTTCTGTGTTACAAATATTCACAAAATGATTCATGAGTATTATTAATGTTTGCTTTTATTATGCACCAAAGTGTCACTTGCAGTGTTCATACAAAAGCAAAGTTTCATTCAAGGGACTGCAATCCTGTTCCACCCTTGATGTCATCAAGTCCCTAGACTTGATAGGGAATAAGCTGGGAAATGGGGGGGGGGGCTGGAGGGGTCTCTGGAGCAACCAATTGAGACTGCAGTATATATGACAGGGGAAGATATGGAGGTGGGAGTAGAGCACGCCCGTGTAGGAGAAAGGATAGATACCTTACACCTATCCCCTTTTCTAGCTCTATTCCGAGCCAAACGATACTAGGTGACTGTAGCGAAATGCCGACAGGTGACATCATTCCTGCCTGTCCATCACAGAAGCTCAAGGGGGAGGAGCCAAGGATAGGGCAGGAGGGGCAGAGTTAGACAGTTGGAGATGTGGAATGGCAGTTAGGGTTTAGGATAAAGAAGGAGAGGGTTAGTGAATTCAGCTGAGAGTGTTAGGAGAGGGAATTGAGAAGTTTAAACAATATTGTACAAGCAGAAATGAAAGTATAAGCACTACAAGAGAAATACTGATTGAAAGTGTACAGGAGTTTGGAGTAAAAGTGATTGCCTACATGATCCAATCCGTGTTAGTACCTGAAACAGTTCATATGTGATTTACCTTAATTATTAGTTTGACAATAAAAGAATAACTTAATTAAATCTCTGATTCTTAAGTTCTATAACCCTTAGTTTTGGTATTAGGAGAATATCTGGTGGCAGCGTGAAGGAAGAAGGGTGCGATCCTTTGTGAGGGCCAAATAAATAGGGGCAACAAAAGTAGATCTCCACAGTGACCATATCAGCCACACACACCCAGGCCACATGGTACTGTTGGTAATGCCAGGTCAGCAAAAAATAAGACCACCCTCATCCGTGATTTAATTTTGAATGAGGGAGCCGACCTGGCATGCATTACTGAGACGGGTGGGAGAAGAAGGTGGAGTTCCTGTATTTCAGTTGTGTTCCCTTTGGTACTTAGTCCAACACCAGGGTAGCCCAGAGGGTCAGAGAGGAGGCATGGCAATAGTCTGCAAGGATTCCTTCCACTTTTCCAGACTCCCTGTCCCATTGGGAAATGGTCTAGAGGGCCTGTATTGTGTGTTGGGCTTAAGAGACAGACTGGGGATTCTCTTGGTGTACTGCCCACCCTGTTGCTTACCAACAGTCTCCCTATCTGAGCTGACGGAGATGATCTCGGACCTGGTGGTAAGGACCCTCAGACTTTTGGTACTGGGGGACCTCAACCTCCATGCTGAGGCCACCTTAACAGGGGCGGCTAAGGACTTCATGGCCGCCATGACAACCATGGGGCTGTCTCAACATGTCATCAGCCTGACTCATGAGAAAGGCCATACACTTGATCTAGTATTCTCAATGGGACGGGGGGGATGATGATCCAGATTTGGTGGGTTTATCTTTGACCCCGTTGTCATGGTTGGACCATTACCTGGTGAAGTTTAGACTCTCTGCCACTACTACCCTCTGCAGGGGTGGGGGGATCAAATAAAAGTTACCCCGAGAGACTTATGGATCCTGAACGATTCCTGAATGCTCTAGGGGAGTTTCCAGCTGATATGGCCGGCACTCCTGTCAAAGCCTAGGTCACTTTGTGGTACAACGAGATGGCCCAGGCAGTTGACACGATCGCACCTAGGCACCCTCTCCCTGTCCGCAGAGCCTATGTGGCTCCATGGTACACAGAGGAGCTTCTGGCTATGAAGTGACTGGGGAGACAGCTTGAGTGCAGATGGAGGAAATATCGCTGCGACTATGACCAAACACAGCTTAGAACCCATTATCGGGCCTGCTCTGTGGTGATATGGCTGGCGAAACACCAGCATTTCTCCAGTCGTATTGCTTCCTTGGCATGTGATCCAGCAGAGCTATTTCGAGTGGTCTGGGACCTTCAGCCTAATGGTTCAGTGGAGGTCCTGGACTGCTCAGTGGCTCGCTATAACAAATTTGTTACACACTTTGAGGGAAAAATTGCTCAGATTCGCAAAGAGTTGGATTCCACTGTTGATGCAGAACCTATGGTTGTGTCCAGTGCTCCTGACTTATGTCATAATTTATTGGATGAGTTACAACCCAAGGATATGGACAGGGTGCTTGGATCGGTTCGTGCCACCACTACACAACTCAACCCCTGCCCATCATGGCTAATAAAGGAATCTGGAGGTCATCAACTGGAGGTCATCAACTCCTCATTAAGAGAGGGAGTGGTCCCACCTCATTAAAGGAGGCAGTGGTTTGCCCATTCCTAAAAAAAAGCCTAATCTGAACCCAGGCCTAGTAATCAACTTCTGACCAGTGGCAAACCTCCCTTTTCTGGGCAAGGTTTTGGAACATGTGGTGGCTGAGCAGCTCCAGGCTCTCCTGGATGAAGCAGATTATCTAGATCCATTTCAACCGGGTTTCAGGCTGGGTTATGGGACAGAGACTGCCTTGGTAGCCCTGATTGACAACCTCTGCCAGGAGAAAGACAGGAGGAATGCATCCCTGTTGAGTCTCCTGAATCTCTCAGTGGCTTTTGACACCATCGACCATGGTGTCCTTCTGGACAGATTGGCTGGGATGGGAATGAGAGGCATCAATTTACAATGGTACCACTCCGACCTGGCTGATCATGTCCAGAAGGTGGTGCTGAGGGACAGTAGCTCTGATCCATGGTGGTTGTGTCATGGGGTTCCTCAGGGCTCTATACTGTCCCCCATGCTATTCAATATCTACATGGAACCACTGGGGGAGGTCGTTAGAAGGTTTGGGCTGAGGAGTCAGCAATATGCTGACGACACCCAGCCCTACCTCTCATTCTCTACCAATCCAGGTATAGCAGTCGCAGTTCTGAACTCATGCCTGGACTTGATAATGGACTGAATGAGGATCAATAAACTGAGGCTTAATCCAGACAAATCAGAAGTGCTGCTGGTAGGTGCTCTGCCAGATAGGTTAAAGGGTCATTTCCCTGCCTTAGACTGGGTTACACTCCCCCTAAAGGACAGGGTCCACAGCTTGGAGGTGCTCCTTGACCCGGATCTGACCTTGGAAGGTGGACTTGGTGTCCAGCGGTGCCTTCTTACCTGGATGAGTAGAGCCTGACAACAGTTGCCCTTACCTGGATGAGCAGAGCCTGACAACAGTCACACATGCAGTGGTAACAACCAGACTGGACTACTGCAATGGCTATATGTGGGGCAGCCTTTGAAGACGATCCAGCGACTGCAACTGGCACAGAACCTGGCTGCATGGCTGGTTCTGTGCACGGACTCATATCACGCTAGTTCTGAAAAATTTACACTGGTTGCCACTTGCTGCTCGGGCCCAATTTGAAGTGCTTACTTTGACATATACAGTCCTAAACGGCTGAGGCCTTGTTTACCTAAACAACTGCCTTCTTCCATATGAGCCTGCCCATCCTCTAAGATCAGGCCAGGAGGCCCTTCTGAAGGTGCCATCCCTGAAAGAGTTGAGGGGGATGGCATGCCGAAATAGGGCCTTCTTGGCTGTTGCCCCCCAACTTTGGAACACCCTCCCTATAAAGATCTGCCTGGCTCCAATACTTTTGGCTTTTCAGCGCCAGGCAAAGACCTTTCTGTTTAGCCAGCATTTCGATTAAATAGTATTTTTTAGCTGGCCATATGAGGAGCAGGATTTATTAATATTAATGTTTTAATGACTTCTTAAAATATAGGGTATTATTATAATATTGCCTATTTTTAATGGTTTTAATGTTTTTAAAGTTTTAATATTGTTATACGCCACTCAGAGACCACTGGTAATGGCATGGTTAAAAATCTTGTAAATGAATAAATAAATAGACAAAATGCCAGCTGGGAGTCTTACAGATAGTACTTTGATCAGGAAGCTTGCTTCACTATGTATGAGCTTTCTCTGGGCTATTTGAGGGTCCACCCTTTCCCATATAAATTAAACCATCCTATAAGCCCTTCAGCATGCACGTAGATGCAAGAACTTCCTGTTTTATAGCTAGTGGCAACATAGGAGGGCGGGTTTTTTTTTGGGGGGGTGTCCTAGCAGCACCATGCATATGGGGGCTTTTCATCCGTAAATGTAGAACATTTTACTGGTGTTCCACTCTGCATTTTTTTCTGGCACCTTTTTTCTTGTAGTGATTGTAGGGGTCATATATTTTGGGTTTCAGTAATACAGATTAATGTTTAATTTTGACTTATTGTTTTAATTGCCTTGATATTTATGTGAGGAAGAAATGCAAATTAAGATTTGGATATAAATAATGATTACACAGGAAGCCATTACCTCAGTAAATAAAGGGGTGTTTTACATGGGATTGTTGAAAGACATCAGAGAGAATTATGTTGTGCCTGTGTACAGGACTAATCATTTTTCTGAACCTTTGCAGTTTTGTTGTGATTTTGTAGCCTTGTGCTCTGCTCCAAGGACTTGATATTAAGGGGTAGGACTTCTGCTTGCTTGAGGAGAGAAGTAAAAGGTCTTGAGTCATTGACTTGGAGATGGAGCTAGCAGTAGCCACGTCTGTAGGAGCACCTAGAGTCTTGGTAAGGTTTTGAATAAGCATGGCTGTTTAGCAGGAAGTTTGAGGGGAAGGCCCGGAAAGATGTACCACTTTTTGGATAGGACAGAGGGACATGGATTGAGACATGGCTGTTTAGCAGGAAGTTTGAGGGGAAGATGTACCACTTTTTGAATAGGACAGAGGGACATGGATTGAGACGGAGCGGTTGCAGTACCTTGCATCATCTCTGACTGATTTATTTCTCCTTTGTGGCCTCTGTGAATACACATTAATGGGTTAATCTGCACTCGAGCAGAGCAGTTTCAGAAACTTTCACAGCTTTAAGTACTTAGTGCTGGGACCTCCCCTACACCGGCTATATAACTCCGCCCCCAGCAGTTGTGCCTCAGTTCTAAGGA